GAACTTGTCTCTTCTAGAGGACAGAGGGAAAAGCCACCATGTACAACACGTTCCATAGCCATTGGGCCGTTAGGGGCGTGAAATTTTGGATGAGCTACTGCCTCCCAGCTCTGCGTGTTACCCTCCCACTGCTCCAGCACGCCGACTTAGAGCGGCTGAAAGATCATGTAACTATCTGGGTTCGTCCTTATGTCATGGTCATCTTCAACGAAACCAAACATGACTCGCCGCGGACGGACAGGTATCTGGGAGAGGACATTTCAAGTGGGCGGGAATGGTGTATGCTCACTGCTTGCCAGAAAGGGTCTTCGCTGTCCAGGCAGTCATGTCATGGCTGACCCTGCTGGATGACGCCTTCACTTTGCTGAAAAATCAAAGCGACAGAACCAATCTACTTCAGCGCCTGCTTCGCACCATTGACGCATGGCAAGGCCCGTATTGCCGCTGGAGAAGATGACTGCCACCGTGCAGGAAATAAATGTTGTCCGAATATTCACCCGTCAGCATGAAGCTCCGCTTCAGGACCAAATTAAAGACGTCCTCGCAAGCGCCGCAAGCGAAAACACTGCCAAACCTTCAACCTACATGGATAGCATGGCGTGCTATCTGCGGTATCGACGAGTCAACATATTCGGCATATACGTCCTTATATTGACCTAGTGGTCACTCGAGCTCAATGTGCAGAAGTATGTCGAGGCCGATGGCCATGTATCCTTGGCTCGTGACCTTGTCATTGATCACTTCTCTCTCGTCAACGACATGTACTCTTTCCCCAAAGGAGATCGAAGCTGGCGAGGCGACCAACAGCGTTTGGATGGATGCTCATGAGGAGACAAGGGTTGTCGCTTCGGACTGCGCTACACGAGCTCGCGCAGCGAGCCACGGATACCGAAATCGAGTTCATCGTCATCCGTGACGGGATACTCGCTGGGCCCCTCGGCCGTCACCCTCATATTCCCGACTATCTGCGTGACTAGGGGCACGCAATTGCTGGCAATTTGCGTTTTCATCGGCAAGCGAGTCGTTAACACGGCTTCACGCGGCCATTGCATGAGAATGATGCCGACACTACAGCTCCAGAGCCTGTGAGCCTGTGTTGTCGGGACACTGTTCACAAGTGAGGTTGGTTCAAATGTTGCTTAGGGGATAGACGCAGTCTGCAAGGCAAGTGCGCAAGCAACTCATTTGTGCGTGTGGCTGTGCCGAGAGCGGTAGACCTGTCTTGGGGGTGCGAATATCAAGCACCTCTCAAGCCCCCCCGCGCCTGTGGCTGTGACTAGGGTCTGGTCCCCTTGTGTGCCGGGCCGTTCAAGCGAGATCAGATCTTGCATTAGCCAGTAGGAAGTTGTACGTAACACGACAGTCCGCGGGATTTCCAAATCACACAAACATGCTAGGGAATCATCACGTCAACCGTGCCCTGGCCAAGGTAGAATGCTCACTTGTAAGAGGCAGTCAAGAGCTAGGCACGAGAGGTTGTATTGTCCGAGATCCAAGAAGCAGTGACCACGTCTACTTGAGGGGCAAACCGTCACCATGAAACGTCAAATGAGGGATCGCTCGACCATTCCACATGTTCCGTAAAGACCAGCCACGATGACGTCTTCTTCATCACTACAAGCATGAGCACCTTTGCAACTTCAAGTAGAATGTTTGAGGAGACTTTGACCAGACTATACTCACCCTGGCTCAACTCGGCTTGTTACCCACGCAACCCGTTCCATGTCCAACACGCCAAACACGTCCAACTCCAGTACAGCCTCGGCATCCCGGCTAATGTAATTCCTCGAGCCTAAGCCACATCGACTGACAATTCATTGCACTTCATTCGGATACGGTTTCCTGCCCCAGACAACGAACGTAGGCATGTACGAGTGGATGCGTGTATCGTTAAGGTCCCGCCGAACGTCGACGAGAGACACCTAGATTTGGCGCCATCAATACCTGGCACATGCGACCTGTGTGACTTCAGGACTTGCTCACCTCGATTTCGGTAGCAGAACGATTAAACCCGTGATGGAGAAGCTGGTAAGAAAAAGCGGATAGTCCCTTCAAGATATTAGCACCCCATAGCAGCCCAACTTGCTTGAGCAGACGATCTTTGGGCCACGGGTTGAGAGGCATTTTGTAGACGCGCTGCTGTACATCAACGAAGCCGACCCGCTCATATGCTTGCTTAAGAATAGGTCCCAAGAGTACAGGGCGATTCAGCTTCTCCGCAGCAACCATCAGGTCGTTGATCCATTTAACAATTGGACCATTGGGGTCCAGTGTACCGTCGTCACAACTGATATTGCAGTCGACCTCTTGAGACTCAAACCAGCCGCCTGGTTTAAGAGCGGCGAAAGCCTGCGCTACGATCTGAGTTTCAAAATCGGCCCAGCAGCCACCGGTCAGCCGCGTGTGAACGAAATCGAATTTGTACGGGAAGTCCCAAGGTTCAGTACTACAATGTCAACATGTTAGGACTAATACAATCATCGTATGTGCGTGACAAGGATACAACGGAAAATGACGGTCGGGGTCAGGCTATGTACTGCCCTGGCGGTTTTTCAACCATTTGCACCTACGAGTCTTCAATATAAAACCGAACGTTGGGAGGCACGGTGATTGGTTGTATGGGGGATAGATCGGTGGCAATGATTTGCGAGTCGGGAAACTCGTCGGCGATTTCGACAGGCCAATCGCCAATTCCTGTGGCAAGGTCCAGAATATATCGCGGAGGAGCTTCGGCAGAGACGGGAGCAAAGAAGAGCTTCTCACCCATGAGCCTCTGCATGGCCAAGTGCTGGATCGCCAGTCTCTCCTGCTCTAACTCATCGTTGGGGAAAGCATAGGCTAGAGGTTAAGACTAAGCTGTCGTGCTTCACGAGGGACGACGACACATGGAAACAGGCAGATTCTTACACCCAGCATGAAAGGCGTGATAGGTACGACCAAATAACTCGGGGTAGTTTTGGACGCTCTCAGATAGTGACATGTCTGACAATGATGCGACATCGCTTCTACGGACAGAGGATTCAATTGTTAGAAGGTGAAGATATATTGCAAAACAGCTAGTGCTAGGTCTGTTGTCGGCCCATGCTTCACGAGAATGGAAGAGCTTACATCTCATCAAACTGGCACCAGGAAGCTCCCGAAGTTACGTTAGCAAGCAAAGTCTCTGGTCGGAAGCTTTTGGCATTCAAATGTTGGGGCGATGGCGTACATCGGGTTCAATCATGAGCATGGATGACTCAAAGGTGAACTCGAAATCGCATGGGGACATGCTGTTGCCATTGTTGTCACCGAAGGCATTGGAGCCGAAACGACGCTGTGCATCTTCTTGCATGGCTGGTTCAATGCGGATAGCCACTGCAAATAGTCGGTAGTGGCCTGTGGATTGTTGTGTTATGTTGGAGGAGGAGGAAGATGCGAGATGTGACTGAACTTTTCTCGTGCTTGGGGATGCATGGCCCGGTGCATATCAACATGTTAAAGCTCTGGCATAGTAATAATCTCGGCTGCGGTTTGAAAACGTCGGTGAGCCCTTCCGTTCCTAGGACTCTAGGAGCTAGGTGCATGCTTGTGCATGCTTGTGCATACCGATGCATACCCGCGCATACCTGTGCACACACTCGGCCTATACATGGGATGCCCGTGCTCTCGACTTGGTGGGTAGCTGAGGCAGCCAATGAGCTTGACACAGGGCTGAGGTGCAGAGAATCGTGATGCGACGGAGAGTTTGATTCTGTAATCTTCATTGCCTGCCGAGGTATCCCATCAAAAGCGGAGAACGGTGTGAGCCGTAGTGACGGTATCAAGCACCCAGGCTGTAGCCGCGCAGATGGACCAATTGATCGGTTGACCGTGGACGTGTTACACTCTAATCGGTCCAAGCTTGACAACTCAGCCGCGAAATTCGAGCCGTTTGTGCCATCAACCCATGCTTTGGGATTATGTATTGGCAGTCTGAAGCATCATGACATTTAAAACCAGGGACACAAGACATGCGGGCCGGCGCCTGGGGTCAACATGCGAGGAGGTATCATTAAAAGAGGTGCTCAGTCCAGTATCGGTCAAGGGAGCTGTTCTCCTAGAACGGACCAAACGGGCACGTCACGGCACAGCGAGATATAGAGCTGAAAAATGACCCTGGTCAGCCTCCCAGAGACAGCGGCTGTTGGGCACAGAAACACAAGCCCAACCCGTGACATGACTGTTTCGGTTGTCATTGAGTGCTACAGCCTTGTCTTTTTTTTTTCTCTGTCCTCTCTCTAAATTTGTAAGAAGCTTTGTGCGACAGCGCAAGAAGTTCTCAGCAAAGCCAGTGCCGCGATAGTTGATGTCCGGATTGAATATTCGGTACTCCGTCGCGCTCTCGGCCGGGTTCCACCATCGGCGCCACCGCAGCGGCTGGTAGCCGGCAGCCGGGAATGGGGAACCGGGAACCCGGGAGCGGTATCACAGACGAACCCGTCCAGCTGTTTCCACAGCGACCTTGGCTTGGCAGGGCTAGGTCGGGATAACCAAGGCGGTCCGGGTCCGGGTCCCTCGTCGTGGTCCTAGAACTTGGACCTGGGCGTGGTCAACACGGCACACCAACATTTGGTGGGTTGTCAGGCAATCAGGTAAACACCCACTATCTGCACTCTTTGGTTGCCCGCCTTTTTTTGTCTCCTTTTCTGTCCTTCTTTCTTTTTTTTTTTTCAGGCCATTACTATCATCGGTAGAATATGAGTTGACATCACTACTACTCCGTACTCACATGGGGAACCCCACTACCAGCAGAACGCGTTATAGGGTAGGCTAGAGGATGCACCAAGGCGCTGACTAACATTGTCTTCAACCCATGGCGCTTTGGCTCGCTCGCTCGTCGCCGACACTCTGCGTCCTTGGACTATCGGCCTTCAATCATTTCTATCCATTTATAGAGCAACAACGCGCGCACAAGTACGACAAAAGCTCCCACGCCGCATCACCCTGTCAGACAGTATACATTGTTGATCCGCTGCTTCATCATGACTACGCCCAGGGCAAAAGACCCGTTGGACGCCCTCCAGCTGCTCGTCAATGATGTGGTAAGTGTGCCTCTCCCAACCGTCCAGTCCACAGCTCGGTCGCCGTCTCGCGCGCCATTGCGCAAGTTCAGACTACTTCAGAATAGCCAACCATGCTAAATCATTCGCAGCTCGTGCAAACCGGCAAAGCCCTCCGTGCCTCGCGACGAGACAGTCAAGGTAACCTCCCTCCTCAAGGAGTTCTGCAGCCCAAGCTGCCAGACACCATCAGGGCCTTCCACTCGGCTCTTGACGATCTCGAAAACGACATTGTAAGAATGAGCAATATTCCATCCCCCCGCCTGGCCCTTGCGCCTAGCCACTTGGAAATGTCCCCAGTTAATCATGCACTAGATTCGTGCCAAATCTGTGCTTCTCCGCGATCTAAACCAACTAAAGGCACAGAACCATTCTTCTGATGAATCACGGTCGCTCGCCCAACCAACGCAGGTGGAACCGCAGTCAAAGTCTCCCATGGCCATCGAGATAGAGTCATCGCCACTAGCACCCCCAAAAGAAGAACCAATCGAGAACGATGGCCCCGGCAACAAGCCCGCCGGCGCTCCTATCCCAGACATGGGCATGGGCCTAGGCTTGGATCTGGGCATGTCAGACCTTACCCAGCCTACTGTCTCTATCAAGGAAGAGAATATGTCCTCCCAAGCCCCAATTGGTGTCCATGCAGGGGGCCCTGGGCCCGTTAAAACGGAAAGCAAAGAATCAAATTACGAGGCGCCGATTGCACCGATGGATGTGACATTAGAAGGGACCCAAACCAACATTGGTGGTGGTGACGGTACTGCGCTGGAATTGACAAACTCGGACTTGAACTTCACGGACATGGAGTTCACCTTGGCGCCGCCAGCCCCGACGAATGATAACCAGAACCAGCCAGGTGGCGGTGGGAACGCAGCTGCCAGCACCGAGTCGTCGTTTGATCCCTCTTCGTTTGGTGCTACAGACGGTGCAACCGGCAACATGTCCTCTCTGGAAAACATGCTGCCGACCAATTCGACAGGGCAACCAGCCCCTGCAACAAATGCACCACAAGGACGACCGGCAGATAGTCAACCCAACACAGGGGCAGAAAAGAAGGAGCCCATGGCTCAACCAGCATTGGCAGACGTGTTTACGGGCGGCGGGCAGACCGACGGCATGGACTTTGACTTTAGTCTCGGAGACGGAATGGGCGGCGATACGTTTGACGATCTCATGAATGACCGTGATAACACGTTCGATACTATGGAGCACGGTGACTTTGACGCTAATTTCTTCGGCCTCGATAAAATTGACGAGGCTTAGTGAGTGTTTTAAAGAGGTGGAGAATACAAAAAAAGAAATGCAACAGGACCTCGCGGCGTTTTTCTTGCGGACATTGGTCAAAGACGGGATATTAAAGGATGCGGGACAGGAAAACTTGGGGTTTTAAACACGGGGCGTGTGGTACAGGGACGTTTTTTTTTTTTTACTTTGATCGGTTTACAAAGGAAAAGTCTAGTGTTCTTGATGTAACGCATGTACGAGCCATTGGACCTGGGTGTACGCACACATGACTCTCCAAATTTGGGAAAATTGGGAACTCGGGAATGGTATTTGAGTTGGCACGTCTAGGGATTCACGATAGCAAGCATTATTGTCACAAATACAGATATACCCATTGTTTGGAAAGCTTGAGGAGAAGCCCGTGGTTCTGGCATCCCACTGGCCTGTTGGCAAAACAAGATGTAAACCTGATTGGTATTGTTTCTCCACGCTTGTATGCACACGTATACTACTTGTTACGGTCCTTGAGTAACGGCAAACATGTTGCCCAGCATGCCCTTGAACTTGGGGTTTCTCCAGTCCGACCACTCGTAGTCCAGTGCACCCCATGTCTCGTTGTAGTCGACAGTCTTGCCACGGACGTAATACGACCCCTGGACAGCCCAGTGAGCCCAGTCTGCGTCATTGCTCTCCATGTACCCTACCAGACACGTGAGATAGTCGTTGTCCTCGTCACTGAGACCGTCGTGCGGTCCACCAGTCATGCCGACACCGAACTCAGAAAGGAACAAGGGGCCGGTGCTAGGCTTGTCCTGCTCGAGCACGAATCCAAACAAGCCGCCATATTCGGCCTTGCGAATGTCGCAGCTTCCGAGACTGGGTGTTACGACGGTGAAGCTGTACGCGTGGGCTTCCCAGACAAGCTTGTCAGCCCAGTTCCCGAGCTTCATGGCGTCGTTGCGGAGCGGGGAGAGGTCCGTCCCGCCGTTGATGCCGCCGACAATGACGAGGAGTCGAGGATTTTCGGCGTGCACGACGTCTCCCGCGCGAGGCATGTACTCGAGCCAGGTGCTGGGCGCCCAGGGAATCTGGGTGACGTGTGCGCGCAGCTCGTTGCGCAAAGACATGCCAACAATGCCGGAACGCGAAGCACTCCATCGAGCCATGGCTTTGAGGCCGTCGAGCCATTTCTGCGTGTCAAAGTATCGGCTCGTGGCTGCCGCGTAGTACTTTGCGTCGTCCCACCACCCGTTCCCGTCGGACAAGTCACAGCACCAGCTTGCTTTACTGACATGGTTATCGAGGATTGTCATGACGCCACGGTTCCAGAGAGCAGATTGCACTCTGTCAAAGACTTCGAGAACAGTGGCGCCGGATAGGAAGGGGTTTTTCTCGACGGCCGTCGTATAGACGCGCATCATGTCGGCTTCCGCGATTCCTGTTGCTGTAGCTGCCGCGCGAAATGAGTCTTGCACTTTGAGGGCCGGGTTGAGAGCCATGTCGATGGAGTAGGTCAGGCGAACGCAGTTGTAGCCCTGTTTGGTGATCCAGTCGGCGATGTGCTCGATGGGCTTCTTGTTCAGGCCCTCGGGAATGTTGGCCTCCATGTGACCGGCCCAGTTGATACAGCGCAACTTGACTCTCTTCCCGGCCGAGTCGAGGATCCAACGACTTGACGAACGGAGCGGCACATTGGGCTTGTCTGCTGCAGTCGCAGCGAGAGAGAGACAGCCATAGCTGAGGGCTAGTAGTTGCACCATGAATTTCATTGCCGCCGAGTGAAGCCGCAAGTTCACACGGGAAAATGGTGCTTGTTAAAAAAAAAAAACCCTGTAGCGACTTTCGGCAGTGACTTTCTCGGGGCTGATGATGGTTCTCTCACAATGTGAGAAAGCGAGCCAGACTCGAGGAGGCTAGTTCAAAGAGGGCCGAACGCAGTCGTCGCATATAAATGCACACCTTGGGCCATGAGCCATGAGCGCCTTTATTGTCAAGCTGGGTCGTCATTTATGTCCCAGGATACACATACGACATGAAGCTTTGATTGCTCGTGACCCAGTAAGATCAAGGGCGATTGCGATCAACAAGCCCAGCGGTGCATCGAGATAGGGTTCGCGTGGACCAAAGTCCACACCGTAGACCATGTTCCTCTTCGAAATCTGGAACGGGCGAATAGTTCGGACCACGAGCGCGACGGGAGGTGATGGCGGCCGCGGACCCTTGCAGGGTGGGAAGTCTCGGCGATGGCCAGTCAGAAGTGTCTGGTTTGTTGACCTCATCGTCCAGGACTCATGCATGTACGTATGTCGTTGGTGTGGGCTGCAGTACATGTCGATTTGCGTGGATCGGATCGCCTTGCCCCGTGCTCCTCACCCCAGGCGGCAGCTCGTTCCTTCGTTCGATCCGTCGTCGGCACCGCGCTCCCCGCCTGCAATATCTCAGTCGAATGGAGTGGAGAGATCCTTCATCTCGGTCAGCCGTTTCAATCTTCTAGTTCTCCACGCCGAGCTGCAGTTTAACTCCAAGGCTGTCAGTGGCGCTCTCCATTTGGCCGGGCGCATCATTAACGTCACGCATCGGTTGCACACGCCTCTGCTTGTCCTTGTGAACATCCTCGAGCTTTTTCAGCGGCCCAAACAGAACGATGTATGTAGGCACGGGCAAGGGCACGAGAACAGCCCCAGCCAAGCCCGAAAGCTTGTCGCGTGATACCACTCCGAGTCAAGCCTAAAAGTGGATAACTTATTCAGTTATCCAAAGTAGGGAAAACAAACTCAGTCCACACAAAAATTAATCCGGCTTCTTCGATTAAATAGAATACAAAACACATTGTTCAGCTGTGTGCTTGGCTACCCGAGTGAATACACCAGAGGACGCCTGATATCTAGAAATACAAAGACAAAGAAAACATCTCCCACCAATAAACTGGGATGGTATTGCGCGCATTTGGCCGCTTGAAAGAACAAGAAACAAGATGCTAACAAACAACCTTTGCACAAGAATGTACTGTCGCAACGCCGATGATATTGAACGGCTGGACAGACGGACACATCAAGTCCTGTAAATATCCGGCTGGTTTGAACAAAAAGAATCAAATAAATGCAGTGGCTGTCGTAAGTCGTAAACACTTGCTGGGGGTAGGAGTGGTTCAGATCCCTTTGACCACGAAACTCAGTCCATCCAATTTTCGTGTATGAAATTCAATCGAGGTCACAAGGATGGGGCAGCCGTCCTCGCCTCGAGCCCTCGCCGCTTCGCAAGCAAACTCTTGAAAGCGCCAATGAATTGCACCAGCGCCTCTTCATCATGGAAACAGAACCTGTAGCTCTTCTCTTCCGTAATGATTTGTACGCAATTGTCCTTGTTCTTGACGGAATCTGTATCCACAACATCGACAACAGCCGAGAGCTCAAGAATCAACTGAGCCGTATATTCATCCTGGTCCTTATAGAGAATGAGGTTTCTGGGTCGGAGTACTCCCCACATTGCCCTCCATGGCCTCACTCCCCTACTCCGTAGCTGCCAGAGCCGCCCTTGCCAGATTACTCTGTCAGGATGCTGTTCTCCAGGGGCGCCAAGGCTGCTGCCCATGACATTAGATATACTGATTTGGCTGCCCGAGCGGTTTGCGTTGGCTGGATGCGCAGTTAGCTTTGTACCCACAGGTGGCAGATTCACGACTGCCAGACCCTCCACGGACGCACCTTGAGGCCTCTGTATCTCGTTATCTGACAGGTCAGACTGTGACGGTAGTTCATTGCCTGACATGCCCGAGGAGTCGAGAAAATATGACCTTCGTCTATTATCAGCGTCAATTACGAACCCAGGCTCTGGAGGCCCATAGGTCTCAGGCGAGCTCGACACCATTCTGTTTGCGTCGCGACCATCCGAGACGTTTGGCACACCGCTTGTTTTCATAGACATTAGCCCCGTAGGTGACACGCTCCGCGCCAACGGGCTTGAGAGGAACATTTCCTCCTCCTCTGCTATCCTTGCTTCCCTCCGTAATATTTCGACCCATTCCTGAGCGTCTTGCTGTGACAGCGCTTGAAAGTGATAGTTGCGAGAAGGGGAGAAGAGCCCAAAGACATGATCGCGCTTGTGCTTGGGATCTTTAAGATAGGCAACGGCCGAAAGATCTGATAGATGCACCTGATGGCGAAGTTTTGTCTCTCTATTGTTCTTGTATATCGATAGGGTGTTGGGTCGCAAGACAAGGTACACCGTCTTCCAGTTCTGCAGTTACAGGTCAGTCAACAGGGCCAAGAGGACGAAAAGACGCCAGAAACTTGTCCAACGAACCTTTGTTTTAGTCCTCTTTTCAACATAGCCGCATTTGATTACTCGATCAGACTCGAAGCAGCCATTCTGATTGACGTTGGCAAGCGATCTATAGTTTGGTCGGCTTTGAGACAGGGAGGCACCGGCTGTCTCGCCAACATTACCCAAGACAGTACTCTTTTGCGGAGCAACATCAATCGCCTGAGTAGCAGCCATGGTGAACAGTTCTAAAGACGCCCGTAATAGTAACCGTCCCAACTGAATCGGAGGCGAAGGACTCGATGTATAGGCGTGGTTTCCTAGGTAGAGACTGGTGTTTGAGTAGAGAAAGCTATAGCAGCCGGCGCTTAGCGATTTTCGTTCTGGGGTGAAGCAACAACCCTTCCGCCGGGTCGGACACACGGTCTGTTGTGATTCGTACTACGACAAATGTTCAGCAGAAGTTTGGGATTCGAGTCTGAAAGGTAGAATCAAGCGGTAATGGACGATGTCTTATTGCGGAGGAGAGGCACGGGTTGAGTTGGTTAGCTCGAGCTAGCCTCGATGTTGCGGCGCCGCTGGTGGGACGATCCAATTGACTGGGTTAGGGAGGGAAAGTTCGTCCTCGTTCACTCTCGCGCTCGCTCAACAGCATGAAAAGGCAACTAGACGCAATACAAAGTTTGGCTACCACCAAGCTACAGCCGTAGTTGGAACCATTCGGGGCGGGAAAGGTAATTAAGTTGCAGCAGTGCTCGAGACAGCTCAAGACCAAGTTGGGTCGTCAAGACATAGTCCGAGGCTCGAGATGGCGGCTGAAAAAGACAAAGGGCCTCACAGCTTGCAGTGACGGGCGCCGTTGTATATGACTGGTTTGTGCTTCAGATGTAGAAGGGCCAAGTCGAAACGGAAGGAAGGCGCAGCCGGTCGGACAATGAGATGGACAGTGGCGTCGTGGTTTTCGCGTGCGTGTCGGGTGCACGTGTGGTTCGTATGATGTTCAGGAAAAAACAGCGGCAAGTCTTGTTGCAGAAAAGAAAGAATGGATGAATCAATGAACCACAAGGGTAGAAAGAAGATGGGAACAAAACGGACTTGCAGACTTGAAAGAGGCCTGGTCCCAGTCGGCCCCGGAGGAGAGCAGGGGTTGTTTCAGTGTTGGTGCAGCCTCAGCAAATGAAGTCGAGTCGACTTTGGAGTTTATGAATGCCGCGGCGTGATGAATGAAGTGTAAAATGTCAAGTGTTGCAGGTCGCAAGCAGCCTCAACAGGAGAGCCGAGACAGTCGGCTATGCAGAGCAAAGCAGTCACAGAACATTGAAGGCGAAAGGGCGGGTTTCATCCACTTGGAGGCTTTTGCGGCTGGTTTCGGCCATTGATCAGGTCACCCTGACCGGCTGGGTTTGTATCGTCGCAACGCGTCCGCCACATTTAAAGTTAAGCAACATTAGGACGCTCCAGCTGTTAGTGAGGGGTCAGCAATTGCACGTACTCAATCAAGTGCATACAAGGCTTGCGCTTTTGACGTCATGCTCGCTGCACCCATCCATGGGTCAAACTGGTCGTTTGCGAGTGTTTGCCTAAGACGTCGAGGAAGCCGCCCTCTATTCCCGCGAGTGCCGGTCTCTGGGCCCTTCGGGCGATTACGACACCCGTGACGAACCGGTGCAGCCTCTTTGAGGGTAGACGGGAAGAATTGCATGTCTCGGAAGTCTGCCATTGTCTGCCTTGTTCAATACTTGAGTAAGAATTCAATGTCCTACAAACAGACCAGTCTAGGTTGGCGCTTGGCGGGTGCCTACTAGGTACCTAGGTACCTAGTAGTTATACGTTTGCCGTGTCATCACCACAATCATCATGAGGCTGTAATTCCTGGTCCGTGTCGTTTAACCACCGGCCCCGGGCCCTCGTCACCTCTTGGAAATAATCCGTTCCAGCATTGCCCAGCACATGAAAGAAAGCTCGTGGCCGCATGCCGGCTGCGCAACGGCTCAAGTGCCCAGGTGGGTATCGGCGACACCTCTGAGAGCTCTGCCAGGAGCCGCCTGACGCACATTAGAATGCTGAGCCACCAAAAATTCTCATCGCAGAGCCTTGCTCCAAAAAAAAAAGAACCCACTACACACTCTTGCAAGCCTCATCAGATCCCGGAACCTATACCAGGGACTATGTATTTCCTCCGTCTATATCTTTTAGAAATAAAAATAATACATACACAGACACACACATATATATTCAACATCGGGGCGGGTGAACCCTTTTTTTAGCCCGCAACAATTAATCGTGCCAAATGGCTCCCGCATCAGCCACCCCAAAGCCATGCGAGCGTTGTAAAAACCCAGACGCTCAATACGATTTAAGAAACGGCCCAGCATGCCGGTGAGTCGACTGCCGCGCCCCCGTGCCTGTTTGGTTGAAACTGGCATATTGACAAAAATGATTCCTGTAGCGACTGTTTTGTCGAGTATGTTGAAGACAAGGCAGGCCGGCGTCTCGGCGCTGTCGGCAGGGACACCAGGCCCCCGGGGAGACCAGGGCCTCGAAGATATCTCGGCGGTCTATCATTTGGGCCGTCCTCCACCGTAATGATGCAGCTCCTAGACATCTGCGCGAAATTCTACCGCTCCAAGAAGTCGTCTCCTGCTTTTGAGCCACTGGCCGTCCACGTTGACACGGACTTGTCGCATTCCGCTGACCAGAAAGACGGCCCTGCGCAACGACTGCTCTCCAAGTACCGGGAGCGGTTTCCCAACATCTCCTTCGAGTGCGTGCATCTGAGCAAAATCTGCACCGTCAAGACACTTGACTGGTCGGCGCTGGGATGTCCAGACATGGGCGAGCCCGGGGGGGACCACGTTGTGCGATTGCAAAAGTTTTTCGACTCGCTGCCGTCCGTGACTTCCAAGGCGGATATCCTGCGGCTCTTGATACGCCATATTCTTCTGGATTTGGCTCTGGAGAGGTCGTACTCGGCCCTGCTCCTGGGACATAGCACATCGGCTCTTGCGGCGCTTACTTTCGCAGAGGTGGCAAACGGGCGCGGATTTGCCGTTCCTTGGCAGATAAACGACGGTCCGCTTGCCGTCTGTACGTATGATGCCCGGCCTGGCTCTGCCGGGATGAAGGAGGTGTCGCAGGCGCACATGCCGGTGTACTATCCGTTGAGGGAGCTGTTCAAGAATGAAATCAAGACATATCTCGATCTCGTGCCTTCTTTGAAGGAACTCATTTCCGAGGACAGCTCAACAGCGAGCAATGTCGTGTCACATAAAGACTTGAGCATTGCAGAAGTCATGGAACGGTACTTTGACGCCGTGGAGGGTCCTCAGTCGGGTATTGTGGCCAACGTCGTGCGGACCACGGGGAAGCTGGACAGAGCCGCGAGCGGACACTTTTGTCTCATGTGTGGCATGACGTTGGACAAGCAAGGTGATTCACGGTGGGCTGGTGAGCTTGGTGACGATGCGGATACGCATGACGCCGCTTCTCGGGCTGCGAGTTTGTGCTATGGATGCAAAAGATCCATCAATGGATGAAAGGAACAAAGAGAGAAAGAAAAAGAGCGAAGAAAAAGAAAAGTAAAATGAAAAAGTACAAAAGAAGTTTTATGCTCTCTTCATTGACGCCCTAGTAAGCGATAATGAGGGAGGAATATGGAAGATACCCAGATAGGCATGTGTCTCAAATATTGTCTATATGTAAATATCTAGACTGTTAAAACTCCGCTCAGATGCACCCCCTCTGCCTTTATTGAAATTCCTGGTCCATCCCCATCTCTTCGGCGAAGATTGTACAGTACAAATGCCCGCAGTCTAATTTTTGTCTAGCAAAGGACCCAGCACTCTCAGATAACCAAGTATCAAACGAATCCCCAAACTTCATAATTGTATGGGGCATTAGCATATATATATGCAGCACAAACGGATCACGGCGGAGTGTCAAAAAGCCAATTATGCTTTGGCAACCATTGGCAACATCCGGCCCTCAAACTTCCTTACCAGCTTGTTAGTCTGTTCAGCCAGCGAAAGCGTCAAGATGGTGTGAGGCAGAATTCTTGCCAGGTGAGGCAGGAACCCCTTGTAGATGGCGAAAAAGCCCTCGGTGCGAATCGTCTTTCCCAAGCAGTCGAAAACACCCTTGTAGAGATTGCCGTTCTGGTTGTAGAGGCGAGACATGATGGTATCTATAGATGACGCATTTGTGTCAGCGATGGATGCTCCTCTTCTGAGCCCGCGTTTTGCGTTCTTTGGTGAAGACAGCCACTTACCAGGAGGGTGCATGAAGCAACAGACAACGAAACCACTGGCAGCGCTGCTGGCCAGGTGCAAAGCAGGGCCCTCCTCCATACCAGCATGTCGCATTAACCGTCTCTTGGCGAAAAAATATGTCGGCAGCTGGACGGAGCTGCCGAAGCCGGTTCGGATCATTGCCGCACCAATACCGCGATACAGACCGCCTACACCCTCCCCACGGTAGATCTGCGACAGGCCATCCCAAGCATTGCGATACTGGTGTTGAGTGCCGACTGGCAAAAACGGCGAATAGCTCTGAAGACGGGTTTTGACGAGGAAGAACGGGCTGCCGGCGGCTGCGCCAATGACGCCAGAGAAGGCACCGCAAAACATGTTGATACCGAGGTTCTGGGCATTTTCGTTGTCGAGGAACAAGGTTGCCAGACCCTTGCGCATAGGATCATAGAAACCTAACCGGCAGCCATTGAGGAGGATCTGGTAGATGTAGGCTGTTCCCAGACCACGATAGATACCACGTAAGCCTTCGTTTCGTAGGATGACGCCCACGCCGTGGATTGGGCCTCGGTAGAAGTGTGGCTGGCGTCCCTTTTGTTGGAGTTCGCCTTGTAACTGCATCCTATGGCGACGAAGATAAGGGCAAGAGTTAGGGCCGCTTATGAGATTAAATCCAAAACGAATTGCCATAGAATGAGGCGGGCGGGACAAAAATTGACGTACCGAATCTTGACGGTTTCGAATGGGTGGGTTGCCGTAACAGCACCGCAAGCTGCGATGCCGCCAGCGATAAATGCTCTGTACGTTACAAAAGGTTAGCTTAGCTACTCTGCCAAAGTGCCGAAATACGATATTGAAAAAAAGGTGGCAAATGAACGTTTTGCGCCGTGGAAGCACATACCCAAGCGTCGTCGACATTGCGTCCGAGTAATCCGCGGACTAGATTGGTGTGCGGTTCTCAACGGTCCAAAGAGCGCAAGGAAAAGCCCGAAGGGGAAAGTACACAAAAGGACGAAGTCAAAGGATGCGGTGCAAAACAGGCACGTCAACTCCAAAAGCCGCGTCGGCCTCGCTGTTTCAAGAGCCTCAAATACCAGGGCGCCCAGGCCAGGCGCGCCCAAGATATTTGTAGGGTCGTGAAAGGTTAGACGGGGGGCCTTCGAGGCTCGATTGCGTCGAGGCAGTCGGAAAGCCTGTCCGGCGAGCAGCTGGGGTTGTTCAATGCAGCCGGGGTGTATTCTCAAACTCGGGATGCCAAAAATATGTCAACAGGAAAGACCAAAGTGACTGACGAAGATGACAGGTTCATCTGCGACGCACATGGTGGGTGTTCCAACGGGTCGACTGCCGCATCTTCTGTGCCGACGTCGGCCGTCGGCCGCTCCAGGATGGCGCTGGGACAATTAGGCAGCCTCGAAAAAAAAAATCCCCCCCAATCAACGCTGACGAGAGTCGATGTTGAACCTTGGGGCCGAGGGGGGGCCGGGTCGGCTCACTAAGATTGATTGATGTTCACCGCTGCGCTGCGCTGGGTCCAGTTATTATCGAGGCTAGCCGCACATGCAGCGAACTACCGTGCCTGAAGGGCGGAGGGCTTCAGGCGCAGGACTCCACTAGACAGGCTGACACAGCCGGACGTTGAAACATGAAGTATTGACTTGACCAATAACTTCATTGGCCTTGCATTCTCCAGTCCCTCTAACTGGAGCATCCGCTGATTCAATCCAGCCAGACTTCAATGTTCTTTCCAGTTGACAAACTCGGGACCGTGCCCTGCCTCCTCGGGTATCAGAGGGTTAAGTTAAGCATTTCAACCGCCTTGGCTCACCTAATCGCCATGCACCAACCAGACTGGAATAAGAGGGCTGCGGCTCGGCTTCGCATCATCTTTTCCAAAGTATATACCGCTGACCTCTGGTTGGATCAAAGCACTACGCGCCACTGTATCAAGTCCCTAACTCCTGGTCCCTTCTCGAATCTGCCCTTATGCCCTTTGCCTCGTGGATGTTGCAACTCCCGCCCGACCCCGGAGGCGGCATCGTTTCAACAAGAACATCGGTGCGAGTTGGAGCGAGAGCCGCAAACACGGTCCACATGCTTAAACTGCAAAAGGTTAAACCCAGCCAGGACCAAGCCTCACGCGAGCAGCAAGAAGCTCCTGTGGCTTGTGCTCCATGCCAAGTGGTCAATCCAATTCACCAAATTCTCCAAGACCGCTTCCAGGCTCATCGATGAATGCACTACCCCCAATGCATTGCTACTAGAGACTGCACAGAGTGGTCAGCCTGGCAATTGCACAGTATCTGTAAAACGCCGGGACGCTCCCCCCTGAATGTTGACGACGGCCACCTGCTCGGCGATCCTACCCCTGGCGTACAAAGCAGGCATCCGGTGGTCGGGGTGAAATTTACGACATCGTTCCAAACCTGCCGGCGAGGGCTGTGACCCGTCGCATCATACAGGCCGTTCTACCCGCGCTTTCGCATGCCTCGTATGCCGCGTTTTTACGCTGCCGCAAGAGCTATTGTATCATGTCGTCAACCCCCATGGATCTGGACCGCCCTAGCGGCGTGTCCATCAACGGACAGTCTCTAAATATTCAGAGGTCGTTTGGCGGGACAGCATCTGTATCTAACCTGAGCGACGTCATATCCAGTTTTAGACCTACCAAGGTGAGTGTGCCGGCGTGGTATTGCTCTCTCCTCTGCTCTGCCCTGTTCTTCTCGCCAGCGCCAGAGTCGCGCGTTTGAACATGTTGAGCACTATTTCTAACTCAAGTTTGTGCGCTCCTAGTTGCTCCGACGCGAAGACCTGAAAGAAGGTCGCCCAGTGCCGCATGTCCTGTCCATCGACTACGATGATGAGGGCGAGCTGTTGATGACGTCCGCAAGCGACGAAACGATACAGATCTACAATGTAAAGGAAGGTCGCCACGACAAGAGCCTTCTAAGTAAAAAGTACGGCGTCAAGCTGGCCAAGTTTACGCATACGAATTCGAGCATCATATATGCCAGCACAAAACAGAACAGTAACGTCCCCGCTTCCCATGAGCCCGTGTTGCCGACCTGCCAGCTAACATTGCTTCCCAGACGCCATTCGATACCTTGCGACCCATGACAACTCGTTCATACGCTACTTCGAAGGGCATGAGGGCAGCGTGACCAATCTCGCGGTTCATCCCGGCAGCGACAATTTCATATCGTGCTCTCAAGACAACACCGTCCGTCTTTGGGACACCCAGTCCAAACATTGGCAGGGGCAGTTGTTTCTCAGATCGCCGTACCTTGCGGCGTACGACCCTTCGGGTATGGTCTTTGGCGTTGCCTGCCCTAGCAGCGGAACCGTGCTATTATATGACGTTCGTAACTATGACAAGGCTCCCTTTTCGACCGTAGACGTGGTGGAGCAGTGCAGCAAGATCGACCAGCAGAACCTTGTCAAGGGCTGGACCAAGCTAGAGTTCTCCAATGATGGCAAATCGCTGCTTGTCGGTACAAAGGGCAATGGGCATTTCCTCCTAGATGCGTTTGAGGGAACGCTCAAGGCCTACCTGCGCAAGCCTACGGGCGGAACCAGGCGACAGGCTCCAGGTGAGACGGCCTCATTATCAAACGGTAATGCTGCGACGGATCCTTCGAATTTCGACAGCAGCGGAGACTGTTGCTTTGCGCCAGATGGCCGGTTCATCATAAGCGGATCAAGGCAGGATATCTTGGTGTGGGATTCGTTGTCCTCGATACCCGACCATAAGGTATCGGAGCCCAACTGGACGCTCCCTGACAAGAGGGAAACAGCCGTTGTTGCCTTTAACCCCCGGTTCAACTTCTTTGCCACGGCGGATCAAGATTTACTGTTCTGGTTACCGGATGCCTCCTACATGAGCACCTAGACGGTGCTTTGAGTTGGGATATGGTTGTGGTGTGGAGTTGGGTTGGGTTTTTTATAATGATATGATGACTATTTACTGCATATATCGTGGTGGGGACAATATATATACCCTTGAACCTGGAGGTGCGACGGTGGAACAGTACTTTTGCTTCAACCTACAATGCGTTCACTACATAACAGTTTGAAGCTATATCTGGCCCGCGGGCTCCGTTGAATTGAAGGGTGAGGGATATAGCCTTTCGTCTTGAACTAGTGCTGCGGACTGACTGCCTTTGGGTAGTCGTGCAGAAATCGTGACGTACGCACGGTTCCTTGATTTGATATCACGTCATAACTTTTGTACTGCAACAGTCTGGGCGGCAGCACTCGCGGCGCGGGTTTATCATTCCTCGAATCGATAGCTCCACCGTCACCAGCCCCTGTATCGCCTTAAACACACATCGAACTCCCTCTGATTGAAGAGTTTCGTACTCGGGAGATCCCACCCTGGCGGAATGCTTCAATTCTCTGCAAGACTTCTCAGCATGCCAAAAATAAGAAAGAAAAAAGGTCAAAGCAAAGGTCGTTCCGTGTGAATTATCCCCGACATTTAGGGTAGGACACAACATTTGCTCGGAGTCACCACCGTCCGCGGAGGGAAGCTCCACGTCGCCAACCAAGCGGCTCCTGTCCCGTCCCTCCTCACTGCTTCTATGCCCCACCAGATTTTATCCCACCAGACCACAGCCAACCTCACCCATCCGTCATGTCTGCTGCGACTTCTTTTACTCAGCTCTCCTCCTGCTGCGAAACACCACCCCTCGTCATTCCAAGATCCACGAAGTACCGGCGCAGATCAACCAATCTATTATAGAGGACACATATCGCCGGATATACACTTGCCACCGCTGGCGAAAATCCGCCAAAATGCCATACTTCAAGTCGAGCCAGGAATGGCTTGAGCAATCCACGCTTCTCCTCGAGGCCAGACCTTCTACCGTACGTGTCGCTATAAAGCTCGCATTTGCGTCGAAGCCGGTTCCACGGCCTACAAAAGGGGACACAGAGGTGACAGACAGAGAGCGGGTTAGCTGACGCCTGACGTTTACAGACTCGCATTACCACAAAATACTCCATACAGCCCGTCAAATCACGAAAAAGGAGAGCAGATGACGCCGATGGAGACACGCCCGTCAATGACGCCCCGAAACCCCCCCGCGGTAGCCTGGTTATAAAGACATATGATCCCGTCAGTGGTGTCACGCTCAAGTACCGCACCACCAAGGCTGCCGAGGTCTCGCGGTTGGTCTACTCGTCTCTGGGTCGCCTGGGTCGGGGCATGGCTGCCATGCCTCTCGATGTTCCGGAGGAGGCTATGCCAGATGCATCCGGTGGTGGTGGTGGTGCTGCTGACGGCGGTGACGGAGACAACAAGGGTAGCGGTGCGGCCACGCCGGCGTCACAACAACCGCAGGGGCAACAAGCACAACAAGGTGGCGGCAAAAAGAAGAAGAAGGGTAGAAAATAGGCAACAAGAGGGAGGTCGATGACCGGGGGTCTCGGGTTGCGGGTTGGGGAAGGAATGGGAAGAACCAGGACGAAAATTCCCAGACCCAGTGGGAGGACAAGGCTATCAACCTAAAAACAGCTGGAATTAACGCTTATTTGATCACACCTAGGGAAGGCGCAGGACATGTCTTTGCCAGACTGATCGGATCTTCATTTCCAATGCGCGTTTATTATGCAAAATGTGGGTTTAGCGTGCTGCAATACATCATGATCCCATCTATCCATTCAATACGGCACTTTTTGAGTGCCTGGTCGTACAGGAAAAAAAAAACACCGCAAACCCCGCAACGCCGGCCATTATTAAGGATCTCAGTGACCTTCCCAAACACAACCAATGGCAATACCAAAACAGACCAACCAGCCAATTCAGCACTCCCCCCGCTCCCGTTATCTGAGCCCCAAGTGGCTTTGCAAATATACAATTCATATGACAAAGGAAAACCGCAAGGGTTAAAATATTTGGAAAATCCAAGTGGCTCCATTATCTGTGAGCCAGCCTAGAAATCGTCGTCAAAGGTGAAGTCACCGCCATCTTTATTTTCCTCAGAAACAGCACCGTCTTCTTTCTTGGCAGCGCTGGCCAAGACACCGGCCTTTTGGTAGTCACCGACTCGCTTCTCAAAGAAGTTGGTCTTGCCGCCAAGAGAAATGTTTTCCATAAAGTCGAAGGGGTTGGACGTCTTGTACACCTTCTCATTTCCAAGAGCGACCAACAAGCGATCAGCAACGAATTCAATGTACTGCTTCATCAAGTTGGAGTTCATGCCGAGTAAAGCGCAGGGCAGAGCCTCGGTCAAGAATTCTTTCTCAATAGCGACAGCATCTGTAATGATGTCGTGGATGATCTGCTTGCTAGCACGGTTCTTGAGGTGGGAATGCAGGAGGCAGGCAAAGTCAGTGTGCAGACCCTCATCACGAGAGATGAGCTCGTTGGAGAAGGTCAGACCAGGCATGAGGCCGCGCTTCTTCAGCCAGAAGATAGACGCAAATGCACCGCTGAAGAAGATGCCCTCAACAGCAGCGAACGCGACGAGACGCTGAGCGAAGGTAGACTCCTTGTCCTGGATCCATCGGATGGCCCAGTCGGCCTTCTTGCGGATGCAGGGAACTAGCCTGAATTAGCAGCGGATCAGAAATAGTAGCGCGCGTGAACATACTGGTATCAATGGCATTGAACAAGTAAGTGCGCTGGGCATTCTCTTTGATATAGGTATCGATCAGCAGGGAGTAGGTTTCTGAGTGGATGTTTTCCATCATAATTTGGAAGCCGTAGAAGCAGCGGGCCTCGGGGATCTGGACTTCGCCGCTGAAGCGCTCGACTAGATTCTCGTTGACGATACCATCCGAGGCAGCGAAGAAAGCCAGGATATGAGAAATGAAGTATTTTTCGTCGTCGTTGAGACGATTGTTCCAGTCGTGCAGATCTTTGGAGAGATCAATCTCTTCGGCCGTCCAGAAAGAAGCTTCAGCTTTCTTGTACATTTGCCAGATCTAGTTGTATCCACTCATGTTAGACCCAGCCATGTATACACCACTTTACGCGTCTTGACGCGTCACGTACCTCGTGATACTTGATAGGGAACAAAACGAAGCGCTGAGGATTCTCCTGGAGAAGAGGCTCGTCGGCTTCTTCTGCTTTGATGCCAGGGGCGATTGCAGCTGGCTTGTCGTCCTCCTTGCTCTCAATCTTGGGCTCGTGCTCGGCGTCGAGCTGCTCAGCGACGGCGGCCTCATCGAGAGGCTTGTTCTCCTTGTCGGCGACACCAAAATCCAGTTTCTTGACTGGTGACTCCATTTTCAGCGAATCAATGGCTGAAGCGGCCTGGAAACGCGGTCAGTTTCTCAACAGTGAAGGGTAGATGGCGACCGGCGCGCCAGTGCCAGCCATGACAGCCACTTACCTGCTTGGAGGGGGTGACCTGGGTAGTCATTATGATGTATGTAATGTTACGGGAGGGAATGTGTGACAATTGTAGGCAAGGAGCAATCACAATGAAGAAATTGAGCTTGAACTCGGCCTGGGAAGGTGGTTTGAAGACGCGATGATGAGAGAAGGCGTTAATGAGTTGATGGTGGCGCCAGAGCTTTTTGTACTAAACTTGAGCCGAACGCAGAGGTGCGTAGTCACGTGCACCAGACGCGTCGAAACGTGTTTTCAGAGGGGGAAGACGCGGCCGAGAGGTCGGAAGTGCGTGCCCAAGTATTGAGGTGGGGCGTTAGAGGTACAAGCTGGGTACCTGCGCCCGCACATGAGGGTCCTCCAGTCGCACGCTCGGGCGCTCGGTTGCCCTGGCTTGCGCATACCAGCCACCGATTTAAATGTGGTTTGCAGGGAACGGACGTGTGCAGAGGCTCGTCGCGCCCAAGTATTGCCACGACTGGCTGGAGCTGTTGTCATGATTTGCAGTTCATCAATCAGCAAACAAACACCCATTTCTCGTGTCTGTATGGTGAAATCCTTGCATTTTCGTCGGCTTTTGGCGGAGCTCGGCATCGGCATGGTATCTCGGAGATGGCCTGACACTGCGCCGGCACCTGAGTATGCTAGGTACATACCGTCTTCACGCCCCCTTTGAACCAGGGGAGACCAGCCGAGTTGCTCAGGGAATGACTAATTGGTAACCTGCACTTCGTATATGGGGCAGGCAAACGTTATCGGATCTGCGTCGTGTGTCTTGGAAGATGGATAAATGCTGCCTCTTTATCCTCCAGAGTACGCTTAGTGTTTCAATGTGCCGTTCAATGGACCGTCCACTCCGATCTAATTTTGCGAAAGCACCACGGTACACATCCAGGTGCTATTGACTACGAGCAATTGATCCCTTCTAGGTAGTTGCTGAAACTTATACAATTATCGTTCTACCTATTTGGCTATGTGGCTTCTTGTTCTCTGCATCCATCTTAATATCAAAGACATTCGTACACACTTGCTTGCTAAACCCTGGTATATGCAAAAGCCCCGATAACAACCTGCCTTGTGTGTTTTCTCCCCATTCAATAATTAGTCAAGTCGTTGACAAAGCCCAAAGCTCTAGCATTTTGCGTCATTAATTCGTTTCTTTCCCAGATTGCGTTCAATACGTAGAGGCAACCCGAGTTTATCGTCGGCCAGATCGTTTCTTTGTGGACCCATGGCCATCCGGGAATTCATCAGGGGTAATGATACCGTCTTGGTAGCGGCGCTCATCCCTCTGAACCCTCGAATCCTCTCGGCGCATCCCTTTGCCCTGACGTCGGCTAGTTTCTGTGTGGGCGCGATCGGGCAGGTGTCCCGTCTTGCGTAAATTTTCCTCGGCCCTCTCTCTCAGGAAATCTTCAAGAAGGAGAGCGTTCCGCGTGTTGCCTCTGTAGATTGCCTCTGCCCCGGGAACCAATCCAATGATGAAATCGAGGGCTACGTTGACCATCATGTGCAACTTTACCGACGCTGGGAGGCCACCTTCAACCTTGCAGCATTTCCTGAAGACCGACAGCGACATTAGCCCGTCGATGGCATCTCCAATTCTGTTGCTCGATGTTAGCAAATGTTTTGATACACTACTGTGAGGGTGACGGGACTTGACGAAAGGACTCACCCAGGAATTATGCCGATCACTGTACTCCATCCAAAACCAACTCCGAATATTGTGAACAACGACCAGTCCAAGTGATGAACTCTTCTCCTTACTCTCATCAAAACCTTGGCATCATGCTCCGATAGACCAGGGGGCAATCCGCGCTTCTGCTTCACCTGCTTGCCGGTGGGCTCTCCGTTGCGTTTTGTGCCAGGGACTTTTTCGTAGTAAGGGTTCTATTCCTGTATTGTTAGAATTCCTTCCCTTTGAGACCGTACATGTTGATGACAGGCGTGGTATAATCAGTATGGTGTCCTCCAAAGGGGACATGGACATACTCCTTGACCGAACTTCTCCTGTAATTTTTTGCCTAGGAATTTCCTGGCAGCAGTCTTTGCGATGTACGAGGTCATGGTAGGCGTACGTACGGAAGGCGCCTCGAGACTGGCAAGGCCGAGATGGAGGAAGACAAAATTACGTCCAAAGATGAAATCAACAGTCAGCCCGTACACTCTTATGTAGAAGTTTGGCGAGACGTTCCGGAACGCTCTGCGAAACTTCCGGTCTTGGTTCCTGGGGTTGGATGCCTCTGATAAGGCGCCAATGATGTAATTCATTCAATGTTGGTCCAAAAGCTTGTTTCAGCGAAGGGGGGCCCCCTTGTCAGGCCCCGTCTCCCTGCTCGTCGTTTGTGGCTAACAACTTGAAGCTAACGGCTCCCTCCCAGCGGCAGCCCAAGCACCGCCACACCCTTGTTTGGGTACCGAGTTGTTGCGAAACCGTTGCCCGTAAAGACTATGCACTGTAGACCTTGACTCCATGCAGACAGAGTATGGAACTGAGTCTGAGACACACCGTCTCCTCTGTTTGCACGTCCAAACACAGTGTGTCTTCTCCTCCAATCACCGGCTATCCTCCGTCCCTCTCCGCTCTACGGCTCGTTCGCCTCCATCGACGATTTGCCTGCATTAGGTAGCTCGACAATCGAGATTATTTTGCCTATTCCTCCCAACACCGCGATCACGCACTCTGCAAAATCAGGCAAATTGCTATTCACCTAAAGGAATCTGCTATCCCATTCATCTCGACTTTTCAAGGTGGCGCTTGTGCTTTTCCAGAACAGACCGACCCGCTTCTGCGCGCTCTCTGGAACTTGCGACCACCTTTCCGTGCTTCCCTTAAACTCCGACCATGACAAGCATCCCTTCATACCTACGACTTGAAGAGGACTGTTTAGAAAAACCGTGAGCGAGTGAGGTCTTGGATGATTCATCGACGCAACCTGTTACATACGCCGTGTACATCCGGGGCATGGGCGATAGGCCAAAGCGGCACAATGGCAGCGACCGAGATGCAGCTCGAAGACTGTATGTTTTGACGCGCACCAACATCCGGGACCTCTGCGCCTATCATGCGGCACATGTTAACTTTAATTCGCGATTATAGGGCTGGACGACCTATGCGTCCGCTTCATCATCAATCTACCTCAAGAAGATCTCTCTTCTGTTGCCCGAATATGCTTTCAAGTCGAGGAGGCGCAATGGTTCTACGAAGATTTCATTAGGCCGCTTGACCCGACTTTACCCTCAATGTCGCTAAGGACCTTTTGCCTGCGAATCTTTCAACATTGCCCGTTGCTTGCATCCTTCTCCGTTGAGAACCATACCAAGGCATTCGAGGAGTTCCTTCAATACAAGACCCGAGTCCCCGTCCGAGGCGCCATCATGCTCAACCATGCCATGGACTCTGTGGTATTGGTCAAGGGCTGGAAAAAAGGGGCGAACTGGAGTTTTCCGCGCGGTAAGATCAACAAAGATGAGGATGATCTAGATTGTGCCGTCCGCGAGGTTTATGAGGAGACTGGTCTTGATCTTCGCGCCGCCGGTCTCGTACCCACTGAGAAGAAGCCCAAATATATTGAGATTTCGATGAGGGAGCAGCAGCTGCGGCTTTACGTTTTCCGGGACATTCCTACGGATACCAAGTTCCAGCCGCGGACTCGCAAGGAAATCAGCAAAATTCAATGGTACAAGCTATCAGAACTTCCTGCGTTCCGTAAGAAAGGCGCCCAAATTCAGAATGATACTGGTAATGGGCCAGCTGTGAACAAATTCTACATGGTTGCCCCATTCCTTGTTCCCCTGAAGAAATGGATTTATTCGCAAAAGAAATTGAACGACAAGAGAGCAACAAGCGGAGCCTATGGTCATTTACCCCATCACCCAGCCGTTGACGAGGTCGCCATAACCGAAGACGATACATGGGCACCTGGTAACCCTGAGAAGCAATCGTATGTGCCTGCTATTGAAACCCTGGATGGGGCAACCCAGGAGCTACAGAGGCTGTTGAAAATGCAGCCTCCTACTCAGGGGCTTCAACCCCCGCCGCAAGAAGATAAAGGCACAGCTCTCCTCTCGATTCTTCAATCTAATGCTAGTCGTCCGGCACCACCGACTCAACGGAGCGTTCCATTGCCGCACACTCCTCTGGATGCTACGATATCTGAGCCTCCCCAACCACGGAATCCCCATCACCACGCTAATTTTAATCCCATCCATGTTCAGTCACGCCAGCCTCCGCCTTCTTTCCCGTATGCTCCAGACCATGGAATTGTGTCCTGGAATTCGAACCAGCCTCCCCACTCACAGCAACATCATATCGATACGACCAGACATCAGCAACCGGGCCAGTACCAACTTTCCTCGACTCACTCACAGGCCCCGCCACGCCAGGCTCAAGAATCGATGCCTCAGAATGGCTCATTCCAGAGTAAAGCTGCACCTCAGCTTGTCGGTACCTCGCAAAATGTTCCTACTGGCTCCGCAACCGGGCTTGGGTCATTGACTAGTCAACAGAACAGCCAGACGTCTGCTAGTCCTGGATCCGCGAAACTTAGCGGAGCATCCCTTGCTCTCCTCAATGCTTTCAAACGGGATACTGGGACTACGCAGGACAACCAAGTCGCTATGAACCCAACAGGTACTGGTCGTGCCGCTCCGCCTGGTGCTCAAAGTTCTCCGTATTTCGATTATAGTACGCCCATTGCCTCGCTTAATCTCCTGGGCGGCCATTCGAGTCGTTCTGCCCAGCAAACAAATGTCTCAGAATTAGTCGGGTCTTCTGTCCAAACTAAAGGAGACTCGCATCGTTCTGCTCTCCTGGACATGTTCAAAAAGAGCCCTCCAAATACTACAGCAAACCAGTCCCAGGTTGGAGCTACGCAGGAAAATCGACAAGAGACCACCAAAAGGCAGCTGGAACAGGGTGAAAATATGTTCCTCCGGCAATTTCAGGCGGATCGTGGTCCATCTAGCGAGCACCTCTCTCTTGAGCAGCTGACTGTTCAGTCCAAGTCAAGTCAATCAGCTGTGCCCTCACCTCATGTTGGAGAGAGCCCAAGCGCCCATCGCCACCACCAGTATCAATATTCTCAGCCACCCCAGCCAGAGCAGCAGCAACCTGCTCGATCGCCACTTGTCTCTGGTCACGGGCAACTGCCTCAGCCACCCCGCATCCTTCAACGGGGGCAGCGTCTCGACGATATCTCCAGTCCCACGGTCCGTCAGAGCGATTTGTCTCCAAAAACCTCACCACTTGCCGCGCAAAACGGTGCACATCGCTTTCCTGCGGCTGCCCCTGAGTCGTCCTTGATAGCCAATACCGGACATCATACCCGCCGCCCTGATGTTACTCGCGAACAAAAGCAACAGCTGTTATCTTTATTCGGAAAGCAACCAATTCCAGAAGACACAGCACCGGCTTCTGGAACGGATCCTAGACAAGGCGCCGACCCTCCGTCGTCGAGAGTCTCATCAATGGTGTCTAGAGGCGGGGAGACGCCCATCTCACCTGCTGAACAAACCTTCTTGTTGGACTATTTGCAATCTGTTACCAACAATGCCGGACGTCGATAATTTTGCGAGCGTTCGTTGTATCAAGCACCTTCACTGCGTGTTAACATCACTCCATGGGAAGGAACTTTTTTGCTTCCCCCATATTTTTGGGGGGCAATCTATGGTTGGCATAATACCATGAGCAGCGAAATATAATCAATCACTGGGAGATTAAACATTTAGCACAAGAACCCTTTTACAGTGTTTCAGTTACAAAACAACGCCGGCCGATCTGGCTATCCCCTCGTGCACCGTATTGTCATAACATAATTTTATCTCCTTCGCCCAGACATTCTCAGCTCGATGTGTGTAGCTCATTAATTCGTCACTTTCCCGTTACAATCTCAGGCGCCCCTTTCTATTTCGTCTCTCCATTAAAATCAACCAAGCTGAACACCTTCTCCGTTAAGCACCCGCTCGTTTGATAAAGCCGCTGGTTTCGTCCTTGGTACCTGTCTTGAAAAATTTACTCATCATCAAAAGCAAGCAGCTGAAAGCGATTCGAAGCTGAGATATTTGTGCCTCTGACTGCTGCTGCTTGAGTTACCGGCTTCTGTGAATGCATTGGCATTTTGTGCAGCGGCTGGGCACATTCGTCAACGCCCCATTCGATGCGGGAGGTGCCTTTGTATTTTCTGAAAATCGGTATAAGTACATTCGCATTTGAGAACAGAAAGGGTCTGGTAGACCTCAAATTATGCAGTAGGGAGAGGATAATAAACTCACAGCCGACTCATCATGCAAGTGCGAGCGAACATGGCAGCAGCAACTGAGTTGGTGCTGATAAAGCAATGCCCTCCCATGAACTGAATCTGGACAACCACAAGGTTATGTATGTGCTCTAGGTCATTGCGTATTTCCTGTTCGGTGAGATTTGGATTGCAGTACCGGATGACAAGATTACGGCATGCTCCCAGAGCAATTTTGTGTGCAACGTGACCGGCCACAATGAATTGGCGGTCGTCCCATCTGATATCGACCTATACTCACATGAGTTAGCATATGGTAGACCTTACTTGCCAAAAGGAACAACCTTTGTATTCTTAATGTACAGTCCGTTGGCCTGGACATACTGATAGAAGGCGTGAGCATCGCTTGAGTGGAGAAAGGACAGGGCAACCATGTTATCCCTAGCTCGAAAATATATGTTGACAAGAAGCCCTCCCCTCACAATAGACGTAACATCTGCAATGGTGGTGCCTTCTGGAAGGTTCAGAAGCTGAACTGTTCGTGTAGCTGTTGGTTCCACTATGGGCTGCGAGGTGGTGCGTGCTAACAGGGCTCCAGATGGCGCATCATCGTCGTCCATGCTGTCGTTTTCTGAAGCGGCAGAAGAGTTGCTGGCTGATTCAGAGCCGTTGAATTTGGTTCCGTCCCCAGTAGACATGTTTGAATACGAGTTCGAGTACGGTAAGAAAGCATGTGGTCTCGCATGACTACCCCGGGATGATCGAGATGAGGCATGGAATTGGTGAGCTAGATCCGAGCCGCCAGGACCACTTGCAGAGACTTGAGAGCCATGGTTGACAGTATGGGGCTCGGAGGTATTAGACGAACTTTGCGTGCTGAGAAGCTGGGCTTTTGTGAGCGATGAACATGGATGTCAGCAGTACAGTACGTTGGTACAGAAATGGAGAAGGAGCATTTTGCATACCTCAATTGTTTCTCTTGATACTCCACCATTGAGAAGATTGCGGCATAAAGTGTCTTTATGAGCACAGCCAAAAGTCAAAACCAAGAGGGGACGGTGTAAAGCTTTGAAAGAATTCCTCACCATACTGTTGGGCAGACCTAACAAGACTCGCATATTCATCTCGAGTAATTTGAAGGACTGGGAGCCTGAAGTCGGGGTCTGCCACCGGTAGGGACATTTTCTACTTACGATGAAGCATCGAGGTCAGTTTAGCAATCGAGAATGCGTTGAAAAGCTGCTGCCGAGGAGCTACGTACTGCTGACATCTGGAAGTATATCACCTGATGACTGCTTAATGGCAGTTTCAGGACAGAAAGAAAAGCAAAGCGCGGATGAAACGCAAAGAACAGGCGAAAGAAGATGAAAGGACAAAGTTGGGCTGCAGTTGCCAGATGATCTTGCAAACGAACAAGGCAACTGGCAGCTGTTGACGCTCACGTGCATATGCAAGAAGACCAGCTCAGACAAGCAAAGCCGGCTTCCAAGCTTCTCAGGTATTGTCGACCAAAATGGCACGAATGGCTCATTAGAAAAAAAGGAAAAAATACAAAAGAAAAAAAGAAAAGAAAAGAAGTTTACCAGATTATTCATTATACAAGGGCGCTTGGCCACATAAGCTGGGCTGATTACTTCATTTATACGGAGTACGTGAGATGAACCTGGGATTGACATCGGGTCTGTCCAGCCTGCTTTAGTCCCTAGTACCTCAGTGCTCTGTAAATGTAAATAGATATCATTCTCTTGTGCAATTGCGCAACAATGAATCAAACCGTGGAGCCACAAGCAGTCGGGCGCCGGGGTTGATGTTCTTTGCGTCTTGAGCAGGTAGACAGACGTGGCCGTGTGAATGGGCTTCGAGAGCTATTAAGCAAACGTGATTCAGGAATGGACTTTCGGGCACCACCAGTCGCTTATGTAAGTAGACGTGGCCTTTGAAGTGCCGACTGGTCCTCTTGTGTTCGATCAAGAAAGTCATGAGTTCACTCGAGACTCGAGAAGCTGCGAGTATCAACGCTCGGCAGTAGCCACATTGGCACCATGTTGAACAAGCTATGCATATGAAGAAGTACCTGTATATTTGACGGATGTACGGAGAATGTGCAGAGCCAAATGAGGCTGGTGGGGGGAAGATGAAACCGCCAGAGTACGGAGTCCTTCGAACCTACATGAAGGCTTGAGGAGGGCTTGCCTGAGGAGCTCACGATGCGAAAGAGCCAGGTCTATTGAAATGATATAAGTGCAAGGGCGGGCGTGAGGTGCCAGGCACGGGACATTCAACCTGGCGAATATTCCGTATTCTTTCTGGAGATGGATCGAGGCTAGAGGGAGCAGCAACTTTGAGGTGCCGGTTCCACTGGGCAGCAACGCTGCCACAAATACCATCACACGACGTGCGAGTGTTCGCAACCCGTTGGACAACTAAACAAACACGCATCATTCGGTTTTTTAGCCGGCATAATTCGCTAATCCAATCAGGCCAGGTACCTTTTCATATAATTTTCGTTGTAAAAATACCTGTAAAACTTCTCTCAGCCACACAAGGCTCTGTAATTAAGGGCCCGCCAAGCTCACAATAAGCTACAACTGCTGCATTTCAAGCATATCCTAAATGCATCGAAGGCGGCAGTGAGGTCACGGGCTCCATAACGCCCCTGCCACCGGCCGGAAACCTTAAGTGACATTGATTGATAATAACTGTATCAGGCCTAATAATGGTGTGGTCATGATATGTGTGACATAGTTTCTTGTAATATGAAAGTTTATAGGGACTTCTCTTATCATATAAATTAAGTACCTTTTAAATACTAGCTTTATTGGCTGAAAATCCCTGTCGTGAGTCTCGTGACCTCGCTGCCGCCTTCGCTGC